CGGACCGACGGCCCCGGGCTCTGAGCTGCGCAGTCACGGAAAATGGCGAGTTACAGAGCGGTCATGGAGCCGCCGAACTACCCAGGGCAAGACGTTTGAAATTAAAAATTAAACCCTAAAGTTTGGCGTTGAAGTGCCGGGATGTGGCTAACAAAAGTTTCTAGACATCCACAGAGGAAGATTTCGGTGCGTCTGGTGAGCGGGGCAAGGAAAGCCAGACTCAGCACTCATGGCCAGATAGCGGAAAAAGCTTTGTTTTTTTAAAGAGAAATAGATGGATGATACCTACCTGGCACCTACCTAACCCCAGAGGGCAGGAGAAGGGGAAAAGAAGAAAAAGTCCCTGAATATGGCACCAGTTGCTGCAAGTCAGATCCAGTTCTTCATGCCCACGGTTTGTCCGGCCCAGTGCGCTTTCGCTCTGAAATAAGCACGATGTTACGGGCAAGGAAAGAGGCAGGAGCTCTGCCCGCATCTGTGTACGGTGTGCTTGTCTGTGGCCACCATGGAAATCTGTTGACAGCACAAAAATCTGTGACTCTGATTTGATAATTAAAAGAATGTAAGAACTGGAGAGATCCCTCAGCCAGCTCAACCCACCTCTCCTTACTCTACCGTTTCACCTGGGCAGAACAGCTGTGAAAAGGTGAGAAAATACTTATTCAGGGTGAAAAGTAACTTTTTTCTTTTTTTGTTCCCTGGTTTTGACCACTTCATGCATTCATTTCTCATTTATTAATAACATGGTTTTGTTGATAATGTTAAAGTGCATTTAATGTTGAGAACATTGAAATAAATTCTACATTTGTGCAGCTTATTGAAATATTTGTTATGATGTTCAAGTACATTTACTGCTACTCACTTTCCAGGATAATCGCTCAGATTACTGACGTGTGTTTTCGAAGCCAGCAGTGTATTCCTTACTTTGTTTTATGGGTGTTTTTGCACTTTGCTATCTGCCTAATTTCCATGTTGTGATTATGAAAGATTCTGCTTGTGCACACTTTTTAACACACTGTATAACATAAGTAGTTTTACTGATTTAATAGGGTTGTTTATGCTGCATCATACTAACCAGAGGCCTCGAAATAGCTGGCTCTTATCCAGCTGTGTTAATTAGCAACAGTTTCATAGCTTCGTAATGAGGACATATATTAATTGGAAAATGGGTTGAGACAATGAAACTCATTTTTACGTCAGGCATTTGCAGGTATGAGATTGCAGTAGCTCAGCTGGTCTGAGTTTAATTAGCAGCACAGAAGTGGACAATTCTTTGCTGTGTTGTCAGGCTTCGCTGTTATATGTTTTAATTCAGCTTTAAAGTGACCTAAAATCAGAGTGAGATGTTGTGAATATTTCTTTTTCCTATGCCCGAGTGGGGTTCACGCAGACACTAATGGAAGTTCAAATGGTTTATGAACAAAAGAGCGAGCTCGCTACCTCCGAAGAGAAAGAGTTTGTGAATAATGCAAAACAAACGTATGCCAGATGCTGTCATCTCTTCTTTCTTGTGCGCTACGCAGAACCAAGGACTTGAGATCTAGTCAGGGTTACTGGATTTACCAGAAGAGGAGTAATTTTTGTAGGAGGAGGACACTCACATGTTAGGGTAAAGACTCTTAGGGAATTTGTGTCTTTCCAATTGTAGAGGAGAGCTTAGAAAACACTTGGTTGCAGTGTACAGATTTTCTTATCTACAACTTTTATTTTGTGTTTGTTACTTCTTTCCTTTTAAGGTATACACATTAAAACTCACAAAATATGCATGGGCAAACTCCATTTTATTACTTTTTTATTGTAGTACTACTATAATTTACTTTGGTAAATTTGTATCCCTGTTTAAAGTGCCTTAAAGCAATTCAAACTTAGTTTAAATTCAAGTATTGTAAAATGTACAGAGTACAAGCACAAAAAAAAGCTGCATAGTGGAAATCCTAGAGCAGGCTAATACATTCAGGATGCCAAATACTCAAGTATTAACAACACCAGATCAGTATTAATGTTAACAATAATTAGCCAGCTTCATATAGTCACTAGAGAACTGGGCAATATAAATGCGTTGTTCTTACCATGAACAAAAGAGAGAAGCGTAACTGGACACTGAAAGAATCTGTAGTTTCAGTTTTGGTAAGACATGCCGTAAGTAATAAGGCAAATACTGACACTTAATTAATCTTTTACATGCTGCTGTCAATCCAGCAACTACGGTACATGGTTTCTCTAGATTCTGAGCCCCTGCAATCCCAGTGATCGTGGCAAGAGTTTTTGACATCCAGGCCTCTTAAAAATACTCACAATCATTCTCATCTTAATACAATTTGGTTTGCATTTTTGTTTGGAATTTGTCTCATAATGCTATGAAGAAGTATGTCTGAGTTTGCATTTCTGTTTTTTTTTCTGTGTACAGATGCAAGATCTTGCCCTTAGCTACTTTGAGTAGTAGTGGGGGATACCTAATGGCTATGGGAGAATTTTACTTTGGACATGTAGCCCTTATTTTGTCCATTTAATTTGAAGGAATAATAGTTGTACCCTGGTGTAATAGTGCTTGTGCTGGATCAAGAGCCTGACTTACCTATAATGTTTGTCAGAAAAGGAATTTGTTGAAGATATTTGAATTCGCATCGTTATAATAAACAAAATTGATTAAATACCAGCATCAAGATGGTTGGTTGACTCCTTACATTTGAGCAATTAAGGAGTATAATTTTAGTTGCTATGGCTAAGAAAGTTGTAGTACAGGTACGTGTGGACATGTAAGAGAATGACTGATTTTCAGTGGAAATTACAGCTTCAAAATCAGTGGAACAATATGGCTAAAATGTTACTGGTTTGTAGCAACGTTTTAAAAAACGGGTGTATAATTATGTAAGGGAAAGCCATTTTTGCTCAGTTGTTCCCTAAAACAAATTAATTTAAAAATACCAGCCACTTTTAAAAGAAAATTCTTTGTTAATAGTTTACGCATTTGAAGAGCTTCTTTGTATGTAATTTTTGCTTAGTGTTATTTTAAAATAGATGTCAAAAAGTATGACAGTTGCGATATAAATGATTACAAGGATTCACCAGTCATTACGTGTATGCAATACTGAGTAATTAAGAGAATGAAATATGCATTCCTCATTTCCAGAAAGAGAAATCAAGTTCTCTTTTACAAAGGCAGAATATGTCAAAGTATAAATTTATAGTTTAATTTTTGTAATATTTGATGAAATTCTACAAAACAACAACAGTAATGAGAAAAACAAAGGGTTGCACCCAGAGTATAAAACTAGAAGTCAGGTTCTTGGCGTCCGAACTCCCTCGCTCTTCTGCCTTTCCTTGAAGAGACTCACGCGTTTTCGCGGTGTTCATCGAAGTACTGCAAAATCTCGTGGTTGTGGCAAGATACCAGGCTGTGTAAGTCCTTCTCCAGTTTATTTCCAGAGCCCATTGGAGATAACCTTGGGTTAATTTTGCTGCAGATTAGGGTTTGATAGAAGGAATACTGCAAGACCTCCTCATGACCAGCCTGACCTCAATGTCGGGAAGAGTTTTCTTTTTAGTGTGCAAACATCCTTCGTCGGTCGCTGCCAGGTGGAGATCAAAGCGCAGTGACACGGATTTTTTCCTTAAGCGAGGGTTGTCCTTAAAGAAAGAACCTTCCCACTCTTTAATAACTTCATCCACTTTTTCTGTCCTGAAACAATGAAGCAAAAGTATTTATGAACCTTCAGGCAATTTGAAATACTTGTCTTCAGGGCTGCTTTTAACATGTGGAGAGAAATTGCATAGCAAAGTGTCAAGTTATTTTAGATGGGTACCGGAACACTAGAATGTTTCTTTCTTTCACAGGTTCCTTCTCCAGAAAAGCTAAACAAAGCCTGAAGGCTCATTACATTCTTGGTTTTTTACTCCTAAGTAGACGTGGATACAAAGCCAATGCTCCAAACGCATCAGGCAGTTTGTTTCCAAGGAGAAAGTTTGGAATCCAAGCTCAAAAACTTTGCAAGAAGCCTCTGTGCTCTAATGGGCAGGACTGAATTCCTGCACCTGAGAGCCTTCCGAGCAGGGAGGAGAAGAATCTAGTTCAGGTGCAAAGCTCAGAATGCACATCTGTGTTAAATTAAAACAGAATGGAGGAGCGGAAGTAAAATGAGAATTGGAAATAATATTTGGGCACCCAAATCCTACTGATTTGATCCTCTAAGTACGTGTCTGGATCCAGATCTAAAAGTCTGACTCGGGGGCCTTACTCAGGGAGTAAACTGCTCTCAGCCAAGCAGCCCTGAGCGAACCCGACTGCGTCAGACGAACAAAGCTGATGTGGGATGTGTGTGCTGGGCCATTTGATGGTGTTGGTTTTTAATCAGAATTTCTACGTGTTTTCCACAGCTGATGGCAGGGATGGGTGACACGGGACACTACAGTTTGTGTGCAACATTAAATGCTGGTCTGCAAAAGAGCTTGAAGAGCAGCAGAAAAAAAAAAGAATGAGGCAAGGCAATGCTATTAAAGTAATTGAAGGCGAATAATACCTCCTAACAGACTTTCACATGCCCACTGAGCAGCCAAGCTCTGCGTTCCCTGTTTGGTAATGGTGAAATGTAGGAGTTTCCAAACAGCAAGTCAGAGCAGCCAAGCCTGAATTTATGTGCCTAAATATGCCTCAGAGGGACTCTGCCAACAGGGTATGGGCTCTTCTGCTCTCAGCCTTCAGCAGATGAATTATTCATAGTTTCAATCTTAACAGAAATAGAAATTACAAAGCAGAAGCATCATCACGATATTGTTAGCTTATGAAGGAAACGCTAATAAAAAGCATTTAATTTATTGTTAAAATGTACCATTCAATATAACTTGAAGAACTGTCACTGTTATTCTGGAGCGTCTTGGCTTTATGGGCATGATGTAACAGACACTTAAAACTCAAAGCTACTGAAATACAATGCCCAGCATTTACTTTCTGTTGTTATTTTGTTAAATACATGTTTGTCTTACTGCACAGTGCCGTGAGCTTCTGCGCTTGCTTTCACAGCATTTCCCTCTAGGACTGCTTGTTTCCTCATCAGTTCCACCTTCTCAGTTTCATGCTCCTGTGCACCATCTGTAAAAGAAAACGCAGCTATACTGGGCGTGCAGAGGAGTGAGGTCAGGACACAGGACCAGAGGTGTTTTTCCTCCTCCTGTATTGGAAGAAGATGCTTTTGTGATATCCAGTAATTTGTCAGGAGTCAGAAATCTCCTTTAGGGCCATAATCCCTACGGGGAAAGTGTCTGAGAAGTCACCTGAAGGCAGCGTAAAGGCAATCTTGCTACTCGCAGGCTTTGTGTCATCCTTCTGCTCGGGCACGGAGCAGCGAAACCTGCAAAAATAAAAATTATTACAGTCATCTGATAATATTGGATTTCTTTAATCCAAAACTTCACGTATGAACAGCTATGAAAGATTTACAAATATAAGAACCACGAGAAGTTCTGTTTATGACAGTAACTGTTTGTTAGGATTTCCTGTTCTGAGTATAGAACTGAAGAAAGTTACTGAAAATACCTGTGCGATTTCGTTATTGTTTTCAGTCAGTTTTCAGTCAGTTTGTTGTGTGCCAGGAAGGGCTGTTTCATTTTTGTTAGTACTGAACTGTCTGTATTTTCACTGTTAGAAGCATTAAATCTGAAACTGGCTCCCCTGTTTGGGATCTCCTTACGCAAACGCGTGAGCTGAAACTCCCCAGTTTCTGTAGAAAGGACTGGGAGGC